CATTAGAAGAACTTCCTGACTGTGAGAGCCATTCAGCAGTGGAACTCTCTGCCCTGGAGTGTGGTGGAGGTTCCTTCTTTGGAGGCTTTTAAACAGAGGCTGGATGGCCATCTGTCGGGGGTGCGTTGAATGCGATTTTCCTGCTTTTTGGCAGGGAATTGGACTGAATGGCCCATGAGGTCTCTTCCAACTATATGATTCTATGATTCTGAGTTTCAGTTACTCATTACGATCCCATAGAAACCACCCCAAAGGGTTGGGTTGGTCTGTACCAGTGAAGGATTTCTAACCTCTTCTCCACCAATCAGCAGCAATTTTGTAAAGTCAATAGGGTCATAACTGCGTATGGGAGATGCAAAGCCATGTCCCAATACTTTGTGTTACATCAGGGGCAACTATTATATATTATTACTGGGACAGCCCATTTTACTTCCAGCCCTGGTGAAGACTGCAGCTAAGCAACAGAGGATGGCTGGGGGTCTATTGTGTCTGTCTATTATAAAATCCCAATGTTCTGACCCCGTGAGCCCTGGCTCATCTACAACAAGTGACTTTTCAAGCAGAACAAAAAGCTATCAGGTAATATTAGCATGAAATAAAGGTAGTGGCTCCAAACAGGGCCCTGGTCACAAAGCCCCATTATCTACTGACAATTTCTGAACATAATTTAATGTGTTGGCTATACAGTAGCCCCTCCAAATTTGCAGTTTTAACTTTTACAGATTTGATCTAGGAATTTTGGGGTCCTCTGGTGTGACTTTGACAAGCTGAAATGTGTCCAGAGGAGGGCGAGTCAAATGATCAAGGGTCTGGGGAACAAGCCCTATGAGGAGCAGCTTAAAGAGCTGGGCATGTTTAGTCTGAAGAAGAGAAGGCTGAGAGGCGACATGATAGCCATGTATAAATATGTGAGAGGAAGTCATAGGAAGGACGGAGCGGACTTCTGCTGCCATGGAGACTAGGATGCAGAACAATGGCTTCAATCTACAAGACAGGAGATTCCATCTGAACATTAGGAAGAACTTCCTGACTGTGAGAGCTGTTCAGCAGTGGAACTCTCTGCCCCGGAGTGTGTTAGAGGCTCCTTCTTTGGAAGCTTTTAAACAGAGGATGGATGGCCATCTGTCGGAGGTGCTTTGAATGTGATTTTCCTGTTTCTTGGCAGGGGGTTGGACTGGATGATCCATGAGGTCTCTTCCAACTCTATGATGGAGGAAGTTATGGTTAACTTCTTCCAATAATGTTGGGGAACCTAAAAATTTCTAAACACAACACCTCTAGGAATATCTAGGTTCTCCAATTTGTTGTAGGTTTTTCGGGTTGTATGGCCATGTTCTAGGAGCATTCTCTCCTGATTTTTTTTGTCATGTCAGGAGAGACTTGAGAAACTGCAAGTTGCTTCTGGTGTGAGAGAATTGGCCGTCTGCAAGGATGTTGCCCAGGGCACGCCTGGATGATTTGATGTTTTTACCATCCTTGTGGAAGGCTTCTCTCATGTCCCCGCATGAGGAGCTGGAGCTGATAGAGGGAGCTCATCTGCATCTCCCTGGATTCGAACCTGCGACCTTCAGTCCTGCCAGCACAGGGATTTAACCCACTGCACTACTGGGGGCTCCTCATCTCTCCTGATGATGCTTGCCACAGATGCAGGTGAAATGTCAGGAGAGAATGCTTCTAGAACATGGCCATACAACCCAAAAAACCTACAACAATCCAGTGATTCTGCCCATGAAAGCCTTCGACAATACAGATCTCTCTCTCCCCCTCTGCTTCTAACTACTTTCAGATGATCTCCAACACATTCAGTTGCTGCGTTTTCTTAGTGATGTATGCAAGTACGTGTCGTCTACTTCACACTTGCATATGCATTTCGTTGCTGTATTCTCTTTCTCCCTCTGCAACTTCCAAAGGCTCCGTCAGGACTCTCATCTGTGTTGCTGGGATGATGCCTGCTCTCCCTGCCATTCCATTGCTGGTGGAAAGTTGAGGGAATCAGAAAAGTATCTGGTTCTGGCCTCATAGCCAAATGCAGATCAATGACATAATCTGCTAAAATCTCTGGAGGAACCTGGCAGATCTCAGAAGATGATGAATCTATGAGGACACACAGCCAGATGCTTCTATGACACAGATATACACCAGCAATGGAAAAGCTATCACAGCACAGTGGTGAGTCCTGGATTCATTAAAGGGAAGCTGCAGTAGAATTTTGCATGCGGAACTCTTATGCTGCCACTGAATATATACAACTTTGGCCATATGTATGGGAGATACATCTCCTAAGTATTTTATTGCACAGATCTGGGTCATTTCTGACTTCTGTCTACTTTAAGTCAAAATGTATTGCAGGGTTTTCTTGGCAAGGTTTGTTTAGAGCAGGCTTGAGCAAACTTCGGCCCTTTTGGTATTTTGGACTCCAACTCCCATAATTTCTAAGCCAGTTTAGAAGGATTTTGCCTTTAACTTCCTCTGAGGCTGAGAGAGTGTAACTTCCCTGAGATTACTCTGTGGGTATCCATGGTTGAGTGGAGATTTAAACTTTAGTCTCCCATGAATCCAAGGGTACAGCTACATTGTAGAATTAATACTGTTTGACAGCACTTTCGCTCCCATGATCACAATGCAATGGAATCCTGGGATTTGTAGTTTGGCAAGACACCAGCACTCTTTGACAGAGAAAGCTACAGACCAGGAGTCCTCAAACTAAGGCCCGGGGGCCAGATACGGCCCTCCAAGGTCATTTACCCGGCCCTTGCTCAGGGTCAACCTAATTTATTTTATTATTTATTTACCATATTTGTATACCTAAGTCTGTAATGACTTGAAGACACACAACAACAACAACAAGAAAAACAAGAACAACACTATCTCATCAGCCAAAAGCAGGCCCAAATTTCCCATTGAAATACTTATAAGTTTATATTTGTTTAAATTGTTCTTCATTTTAATTATTGTATTGCTTTTAAGTGTTTTTTTGCACTACAAATAAGATATGTGCAGCATGCATAGGAATTCATGCATGCTTTTTTTCAAATTTTAATTTGGCTCTCCAACAGTTTGAGGGACTGTGACCTGGCCCTCTGCTTAAAAAGTTTGAGGACCCCTGCTACAGACCGTTTGAAACTGCAATTCCCATGATTCTCTAACATGGCAGTTAATGTGATGTCAAACTGCATTAAGTATACAGTGCAGGTGCATCCCCAGTGGAAGGATTCTGGGAGGCGTAGTTTAAAAAGAACTAATTTCCCCAGCCTCCAGCTAAGGGTGAATGCACACTGTAGAATTAATGCAGTTTGACACCACTTTAGCTGCCATGGAAGCATGGGAGCTGCAGTTTTGCATGCTATTTCTCTTTCCAAAAGTGCTAGTTTCTCAGCAGATGGCAACTTTCAGAATTCAATAGGATTGAACCATGTAAGTTAAAGTAGTGTCAAACTGCACTGAATCTAGATGTACCCAAAGAATGGAGCCTCCATAGTAAAGCACAGTCTATCTGTGGCTGCCAGATACTGATTCAGAGGGAGCGCAACAGAGTGCAACTTAAACTGCTATGATTCAGTGCTATGGAATCCTAGGAGTTGTAGCTTGGTGAGGCACTGCCATTCTTTAGCAGAAAAGGCAAAGGACTTTGTGAAACTACAACTCCCAGGATCCACAGCATTGAGCCAAGGAAATTCAAGTGGTGTCAGTCTCCATTAATTCTACAGTGGAGCTGCAATCATCACACTAAATAATGAATCCACTTTAAATCCGGTTGCTGCCTCCTACAGAATTCTGGGGTTTGTAGATGAAGGAGCCTTTAACAGCCTCACTCAACTACAAACCTCAGAATTCTGCAGAAGGCAGAAACTAAAACGATCAAGGGTCTGGATTTTTGACATAAGTAATGCAGATATCTCCCTTAAATTGTAGTGCCTAGAATCAGATCACGCCTGGAATACTGTGTCCAATTCTGGGCACCGCAGTTTAAGGGAGATGTTGAATACGTCCAGAGGAGGGCGACTAAAATGATCATGGGTTGGAATAACAAACCCTATGAGGAGCGGCTTAAAGAGCTGGGCATGTTTAGCCTGAAGAAGAGAAGACTGAGAGGAGACATGATGGCCATGTACAAATATGTGAGAGGAAATCATAGGGAGGAGGGAGCTGCTCTGGAGACTAGGGCGCGGAACAATGGCTTCAAACTACAAGAAAGGAGATTCCACCTGAACATTAGGAAGAACTTCCTGCTGTGAGAGCTGTTCAGCAGTGGAACTCTCTGTCCCGGAGTGTGGTGGAGGCTTTTAAACAGAGGCTGGATGGTCATCTGTCGGGGGTGCTTTGAATGCGACTTTCCTGCTTCTTGGCAGGGGGTTGGACTGGATGGCCCACTTCATCTCTAGTGTGATGAAGTAGTCAGAGTGAGCTCTGAGCCTTTGATCCTGCACTGCTCTCTGTCATATAATCCAGTTCAATTCAGTTAATCTGCATTCTGAAACTGCATTATCTGGTATTATAGATGGGGCCGAGTCCCCAGTGAAGGAGCTGAGCTTTTGCAGTGGAAGGAAAAAATTACAAACTCCAAAGCTGGTTGCCTTTGGGTGCATCTACACATAGAACGAATGCAGTTTGACACTACTTCAATTTCCTTGGCTAAGGTCATAGAACTATGGCAGTGCCACTTTCACAATGTTTTGAGCCTTCTTTGCCAAAGAGTGCTGGTGCTCAACAAACTGCAACCCTTATGATTCCATAGCCTTGAGCCAGAGCTGTTCAAGTAGTGCCAAACTGCATGCATCCTACGGTGGAGATGCAGCCTTTGGCAGCAATCGCCTTCCTTCCCCTTTGCAAGTCAGTCTTCTGCGCCTTCCTTCCTTCCTCAGGGCAAATAAGGTCTCCTTTTCTCAGCCTTGGGGCAAAGCCTGGCTCAGTGGCCGCAGCTCGGTCTGTTTTCTCCTCCGCCTCTCCCTCCAGCCTTGGAGGTGTGGCCAGCTCAGAGTGGTATAAAGTCCAAAGCATGAGCTGCTCTCGCCTTCAGTGCAGAGTCCCCTTTGCTGGAAACTAGGCAGGCTTTTATCCCCCCTGCTCTTCCTTGCCAGCCACTTCGAGAGGCATTCTCACATCTTCCTGGCCTCTGCTGTCCAGCTTTCAGGACCCAATCTAACTTGTTTAAGCCTTGCCCTGCCATGCCATCGGGAAGTGTGCACATCACTTTGCTTCTCCTGGCCCAAGTGGGTTTGTCACTCAGCCTGGAGGCCATCCAGTGCCCACCTTGCTCTGAGGAGAAGCTGGCCCGATGCAGGGCACCTTCAGGATGCGAGGAGCTGGTCCAAGAGCCCGGCTGTGGCTGCTGTGCCACTTGCGCCCTGGCGAAAGGCATGCTTTGTGGGGTCTACACCCCGCGATGTGGGTCCGGTCTGCGGTGTTATCCGCCACGGGGCATGGAGAAGCCCTTGCATACGCTTATGCATGGCCAAGGGGTGTGCATGGAGCTGGCAGAAGTGGAAGCCATCCAGGAGAGCATCCAGTCCACAGGTAAGGGGACACCTGGCAAGTGGGCACATCGCCTGGCATAAAAGTTTCCTTCTTTGTACAGAACACCTTTTGGTACTGTATGTTCCAGATGTGGAAAAGGGCCTGTCTGGGGATTATTTTAATTATTTTCTGGGTAACTTGTGCAATAGACAGTTTTCAGGTAGCTAACTCTGAAAACCTATTGGGAGAAGCATCCCTGTTGATTTCAGTCTGACAAGAAAGTGGCACCATATCAGCATTGGTGCCAATAGACCTAAGCTGCCAGAATGGACTTCTGATAGATCTCTCAAGGGAGAGCTTTGTATTGTTCTTTTTGGGTAATAACATCATTCTCTGATGCCACCATGAGCACACAAATAGGTTGTCCACAGGTTTTGCTTTGGCACATAATCATAATTAGTGCTAAGGACTTGCAGATTGTCCTTAGCATCTTTTGCATTGTCTTCTGTGGCAAGGACAGTTCACCTGTGCAGGTATGTGGGCAAAGCAAGACAAGTGTGAAAGATAAGAATCCGATGTCCTTCTCCAACTTTGCAGCACCTAAATTAGTATGTGTTGAAGGTGTAGCATGAAGAATCCCATCCATTTCACAGCACCATTCCAATTCCCATCCTACTTACCTTTACTGGGAGGAAACCTCATTCAAGTTTATTTATTTCTCAACAGGCACATTAAAGATATTGCTGTCAATGACCTATACTTTAGTCTGCAGTACTATGCACATTGGAGTCCCCCATGGCGCAGTGGGTTAAACTGCTGAGCTGCTAAACTTGTTGACCGAAAGGTTGCAGGTTCAAATCTGGGGAGCTGTGTGAGCTTCTGCTGTCAGCCCCAGCTTCTGCCAACCTAGCAGTTTGAAAACATGCAAATGTGAATAGATCAATAGGTACCACTCTAGCGGGAAGGTTATGGTGCACCATGCAGTCATGCCAGCCACATGACCTTGGAGGTGTCTATGGACAACGCCAGCTCTTCGGCTTAGAAATGGAGATGAGCACCAACTCCCAGAGTCAGGCATAACTGGACTTAATGTCAGGGGAAAACCTTTACCTTTACCTACTATGCACATTATCTGAAAATAAATCTAATTGAATTCGGTGGACTATACTTCTGAATGAAAATGTATAGGATTGCTCTGCATACTTCCTGCTTTGTTATAATAACAAAAGGGAAAGCAGAAAGTGACAATGGGAACATTTGCTTTGCAGGAGGAGATCTTGAGGACCTGCGATTTTCCAGTTCCAAAATACAACCTGGGGTTTGGGGTTTTCAAAACCAAACTATTATCCTGAGAGCCTTGAAGATTATGATTTCCCATAATAACTGGAAATCATAGTTATTGGTAGCCCTCTGCTATCTCCTAAGTATTTATACATCTGAGGGTGCATCTACATTGCAGAATGAATGCGGTTTGACAATGTTCTAACTGTCATGGCTCAATGCTGTGGAATTGGTGATATCAAAATACATGATTTCTAAAATATAGGTGCACCCAGATAAGTAATTATTTATTACAGAATAGCAATAATTCAACAGGAAGTAGATGGATATGGCTTTCAAACATCTCCAATCTGGAATGTGTCCAGACGAGGGTGACTAAAATGATCAAGGGTCTGGAGAACAAGCCCTATGAGGAGTGGCTTAAAGAGCTGGGCATGTTTAGCCTGAAGAAGAGAAGGCTGAGAGGAGCCATGATAGCCATGTATAAATATGTGAGAGGAAGTCATAGGGAGGAGGGAGCAAGCTTGTTTTCTGCTGCCCTGGAGACTAGGACGTAACAATGGCTTCAAACTACAAGAAAGGAGATTCCATCTGAACATGAGGAAGAACTTCCTGACTGTGAGAGCTGTTCAGCAGTGGAACTCTGCCCCGAAGTGTGGTGGAGGCTCCTTCTTTGGAAGCTTTTAAACAGAGGCTGGATGGCCATCTGTCAGGGGTGCTTTGAATGCAATTTTCCTGCTTATTGGCAGTGGGTTGGACTGGATGGCCCATGAGGTCTCTTCCAACTCTATGATTCTCCACGGAACAAAATTATCTTTTATAGGCTGTATCTGCACTATACAAACATGGCACATTGATGCCACTTTAGTTGCCATGGCTTCATCCAATAGCTTCTGAGATCTATAGTTTGTTGAAATGCTGAGGATTCTCCACTGTAGGTTGGGGCATTATAATAGAGTTGTCTAGGCAGAACATTATACATAGCTCACCAAATTATAGATCCCGGGATACTATAAAACAGAGCTGTGTCTGCTCCATTGGTATCAAAGTGCTGTAATTGAGCAATGCAGCTGTACCAATAGATATACACAATTTTTATTTCATGTTACCATTGTTTAAAATAGTTGCCATCCTCAGGCTCTGCACTTGTCTCAAACGCAGATTTCGTGCCTTTCTTCACTCAAATGCATTTAATGAAAGGGTAGACTTTTCTGATCCTCTTGTAAATTCCATTCTTCAAAATCCGTAACCGAAAAGCTGTTGGAAGTGCAAGAGATATAATTAATCATCCCCACTGAGTTATGATAAGTATGCGTTCTAGCGGCGCACACATTTCCCTGCCCGTTTTCTGTGAATTAAATAAATCCAAGATAATTATGGCTCTTGGGGTGCTAAGTCTTTAATGTACGTCCGCATCTGTGTTACGCCCACAAGGTTGCATTAGGAAGGAATGCCCTTAAAAACCCTTTCACCTCTTTTCTGCAGAGTTGCTAAGACTTTGTCCTCTAAACATTGACATAGTTATTATTTTAAACTACAGCTCCCAGAATCCTCTATGTTTTCTGGGGGAATCTGTGTAACTGTATTTCCAGAAAGTAACTTTCCTGAGCTCTTTTGCACAGCCTCCGCTGCACTCCTGACAGCTTCGTGACAGACAGAAATGCAACAGATGAAGCTCTTGTGTGCTGACCGCTCCCCGTGGCCATGGTATTTCCATGCTTAGGGCAGAGGAAGGAATGTCTCCTGGAATTTCTGCCTGCCATGCTACTCTTCAAGGCACTCCAGTGCTGCCAGAGAAAAATGTGGCAGACCCACCCTTTTTAACTACCCTCCCTGTGAGTGTGAGGCCCCCTCGCTCACACGATTCAGGTGTATGAGAGCAGAGCTGGGGGTGGGAAGTAACATATTTGCATTCCAGTGCACAGAATCAGACATGCTGGCTGGGGGATTCTGGGAGCTGTAGTTCAGAAGTAAGTTTCTCAAGCTCAGTGCTGAGGGAGATATACAGGCGGACATGCAAATGGCATAGCTGGGTAGGTAAAGGTTTTCCCCTGACATTAAGTCCAGTAGTGCCTGACTTTGGGGACTGGTGCTCATCTCCCTTTCTATGCTGAAGAGCCAGCATTGTCCGTAGACACCTCCAAGGTCATGTGGTCAGCATGACTTCATGGAGCACCCTTACCTTCCCGCTGGAGTGGTACCTATTGATCTACTCACATTTGCATGTTTTCAAACTGCTACGTTGGCAGAAGCTGGTAGCCTTCTTTAACCTGGCTCCCTCCAGACGTATTGAACATTGTTTTTCATCATCCTCAGCTAACATACCGATGGGATATGTAGTTTAATATCTGGAAGTAACTAGATACAGGAAGGCTGTTGGAGTGGAAAACAAAAGGTATAAGCTTCTTTGTTTTTAATAGGCATTTGAGCAGATGCACTTGGCATTTTGAGCATAAGAAAGTGTTGAAATCTCTTCCTTTTCACGACTGTTAAAAGCAATTTGGACATGTGTTGCAACTGTAGATCATGGCCTCCTGACAAACCCTCTTGAAATGTGGGTGGTGAGATGTAAGCAGCCTTTGGTCATGACTGATCAGTGCCTCTGACTTGGAAGATCTGGGGGCTGACAAGGTCACACACATTCCCAGTTTCCACAGCACAGAACTACATACTGAAATGAAAGCGAGGGTGATGTTGGAAAGAAAGAGGTTGCCATGATCTCTCTTTCTGTACGAATGCACTTTGGACGAAACCCAATATGGGAATAATGGGTCTCTCTAGATGTAACTCTCAGCATTATTCATTATTAGCTATATGGGCTAAGCTCAACAGCATTTAGAGAGGCATGTGGGTCTCACTTCTGGACTAAAATGAAATTTAGTCTCAGTGTGAATAGGCCCATTGAAATTAAAGGGATTTGTAGAGGGCCATGGTGGCACAGTGGGTTAAATTGCAAAGCTGCAGAACTTGCTGACTGGAAGGTCAGCGATTCAAATCCGTGGAACAGGGTGAGCTCCTGTTGCTAGCCCCAGCTTCTTATAACCTAGCAGTTTGAAAACATGCAAATGTGAGTAGATCAATAGCTACCAAGGTAACGGCGCTCCATGCAATTGTGGCAGCACCTGACCTTGGAGGTGTCTATGGACAACACCAGCTCTTCAGCTTAGAAATTGAGATGAGCACCACCCCCCAGAGTCAGACTTGATTAGACTTAATGTCAAGGGGAAACCTTTACCTTTTTTACTTAAGTCAGCCCCATAGGTTTCTGTTAGTTTGCTGAACATGAGACTCAAATTTGATGTAGGTCTTTGATATGCTAAGCTCAGGAATGGCTGCAAGAGAAAGGTCTGCCAGAAGTGGTGGTTGTTTTAGTGATGGCGCCTTCAAGTCCTTTCCAACCTATGTTGACCATGTCACAGGGTCTTGAAACATTTCGTTTAGAAAAAAGTTTGCCATTGTTTTTATGGCTGAGCAGGGATTCAAACCCTGGTCTCCACAGTCGTGGGTACACTGGGTAGCCATTGTTTATTAGTTTAGATAACTTTGGGTAGCTTCTGTTTATTAGTTTAGATTGCTGTTGGGTAGCTTCTGTTTATTAGTTTAGATTGCTCGGGAACCCATGCTTTTTGAACATGGACACAAACATTAATCATCTGATGATTGTTTTTGATCTACTAACTGTAAATCACATAACTATGAAGACCAGGACTGTCATCGTTGTCATCATCACCATCATAATCATCATATTGATTTCTCCCCCCCCCCCGGTGTGCAATTGT